GCAGACCTTTAAACTGCTTTCAGTTGAGCAACCTCAGAAGCTGTCCAAGGAAAGACCGCCGGACCGCCATATTCCAATCGGGGGAGAATGTCGGAGGCATACAGCAATTTGAAGGCCACCAGGGGTAACGGACCAAACGAACGGCGGATAGCACCCAACATACTCCACGCAGAGGCAAAAGCTTTGTCTGTCTGTGAACGAGTTTTCAGGTTGCTGGTGATAAAAACACCCAAATCTCGTTCCTCAGTGGATTGCCGGAGCACGGTACTTTCAAGAAGGTAGCTGGTGGTGAGACCGTGTCCCCCCATCCTCATGTGGGCGCACTTGGAGATATTCACCGGTAGCCCCCATACCCTCGACCAGTTCATCAGCGTTCAGGTCATCCTGAAGAAACAACTGATCGGCCTCTGCCCGGATTATTCGCCAGAGCTTGAGGTCGTCCACATAGATTAGACACGGGCTACTCAACGTTGACGGTATGTTGTTCGCAAAGATCAGGAACAGCTGTGGGTCAAGAATGGAGCCTTGTGGGACACCACTGGTGACTGTGTACCACGCAGATTACGTCTGTGAAACTCTCACTGAGAAGGATCTCCCTCTCAGGAAATCCTCCAGCCAGCGAAATGCGGACCCTGTGACACCCAGAGCCCTGAGTTTATTGATCAACTTGTCGTGAGATACTTTGTCAAACTCCTTGCTGAAGTCAACAAAGATAACGTCCGTACCATATCCCTTGTCCTTGCGTCTAGACCAAAGTTCCCGAGCAGGCAGCAAATTGGTCATGCAAGAACGCCTCTGGCGGAAACCATGTTGTTCCCTACACATTCAATGGTGTTGCTCAAGGTGATCCGTAAGTCGTGAAATCACCAATCGTTCCATCGCCTTGCCGACAACCGATGTGAGGCTCACGGGGCGGTAGTTGCCTGGTGCATCTTTCGTTTCGCCCTTGTAAATCGGAACCACAACCGCTTCCTTCCACTCTTGGGGCAGTCATCTCGAGCGCATTGACAAGTTGAAAAGCCACGTAATTGAGGGGGAGAGCTGGACTGCCAGTTCCTTGAGCATGAGGAGATGAACACCATCCGAGCCTGGAGGCTGACTCGTCTTGATCGACTGGAGCACTTTCGTTACCTCCCATTCAGAAAACTCTTCGAAGGTGGACATGGATGTGGTTCTGGCTGCTGTTGGTGCGGAGCCAGCATCTATCGTGTACACTGAGCTTTACTGTGTGGCCAATGCCTCCGCTTCGCCTTCGTCGGTGTCAACCGTGTCAACTCCATCGATCAACGCTGGGACACCAGCTCTAGCTCTCGTCCGCGGCTTTAGGTAAGCAAAGAGTCGTTTAGGAGCCTTCAGTGAGTCAGCTGCCAGCTTCTCCTCGAAGGTCCTCCGCTTGGATCGTTTCAACTTGGCGCACTCGTTTCGTATTCTCCTATAGAGCTCGTAGCCTGCACCGGTGATCCGAAAAGCTTGCTAAGCGTGATTTCGGCGCCGCAGTATTCGTTGCAGTTCAGGATCAAACCATGGTGGTCCAAGTATTCGCGGTCTACCGCGAGTTGCTGGGGTAAACGTGTCAGTAAGGTGGAGGATACCGTCCCGAATGCGTTCAAATACCAGCTCTACGTCATTCACTTCATGAGGGATCGGTGAGAGCCATGGCTGCCGTCCATGCCGCATCAAACTGTGTGCGCTATACATTCCAACCTCTATGTAATCCCAGGGGTGCGTGGGTAGCATTCCGCGAACGAATAGCTAATACCGTATGGTCACTGCACCCTAATGGAGGGTGGTGCTCGGGGGATTTCGAGCCCGGGATATGGTTCATGTACCGTCCTCACCGACTTGGTTCGCGTTGGCATTCTGTTGAATGCTTTGTGATATACCGGATCCGGGTTTAACATTTTAAGGGCCTTCCTTTTGCGTAACCTGACCCGACAGTGAAAGTGGAGCCCATTTCGTTGTCTTGGGTTCGCCACAGGGAGGATTAGGAGCCTTTTTTAGAGCGTCCTGATGATCTCTTTGCTTTCTGCCATTTGTGGTTGACGGCACTGATGTTACTGACGGTGGTGAAGGGGGATTCATGAGTCGTTGATGAATCACGGTTACATCCATCTCCGATGTAGATTCATTCGTCTTCGGAATATGGGCGTCCCGACGTAGGTTCACAGAACACTTGTAGAACACAATTTTCACAAATTTGGACTTCCACGAGTTTAGAAACTTGTACTCCTCATGGTTGAGGTTGGCACAACCAATGTGTATCCAGCCATTACAGCCGTCACATTGAACACTCTCGGTACAACGACCAATGATACGTAGGCACATGACACAGCCAATTTTTCTATATTTGAACACATTGTCGGGTATTCCAAAAGATAAATCGGCAATCCACAATAAATCCAAAATCACTCAGCTGAAAACGGTACACTGACATTGGCGGCACGAGTTTATTTCACACATATATAAATTTACCTGAACAAATACATGTACATATACATAAATATATGCACATTGCATTTTTCAAAAATTGGACCCAGCACATATACATCTATATATTCAAAATTAAACTTAATATATATATTCAGTTAAATTTAGAATATATATTTATGTACCCAGTCAAATTTTCGAAACTTTAGCACATTTAATGAGACCTATGAAGGAATACATGAGATCCTCAGGCGACTAAATTCTAACACCTGGAAATCGTATGAAGGCATTCGGCAAACGTGTAGCTTACAGTATTTCTCTTAATGGAACAACCACAATGACAAGGTCAGGTCAGGACAGGACAGGACAGGACAGGACAGATCACAGGACTTGCGGCGGAGCCAGAAGCAGTCCAGTTTCTTGCACCAATAAGCTTGGGAACACCACGGCGCTGCGACATTGTATTATTTCGTATTATTTCGACGTGGGTGGGTGCGGTTCTGGAAAACGCACTTCTGATGGTTCCTCGGAGTGACAGTACACGTCTGAGGTTTTACCAGGATCAAAGCAACAGCTCGCAACCAACCGCTCCGAGCTACCCAGAGTAAAAAGGTGTGTTGGGAGAAGAAGTATGTCCTAAAAGTGGTGGTGCTGTATGTTGAGAAGT